AGAGGATTATTAAGGCTCTCATGCTTGTATTTTTGAATTTTGATATGGTGTTTGAAGTTGATTATGATGCCTCCAATGTAGGTGTTGGTGTTGTTCTATCTTAAGAATGACAACCACTTGCCTTCTTTATTGAGAAACTCAATGATGCAAAGTTGAAATACTCAACATATGATAAAGAGTTTTATGCTGTTATTCGAGCCCTGGACCATTGAAGACACTATTTATTACCAAAGGAATTCGTCTTGTCTTTTGACCATGAAGCCGTCAAACATCTCAACTCCAAACACAAGCTTAATCGTCGACATGCAACTTGAAGTGAGTTTCTTCAAGTTTTTCCAATTCTCTTCAAGCTCAAGTTAAGTGTACAAAACAAGGTAGCTGATGCCTTAAATCATCACCATACGCTTCTATCTACCTTAAAATTAAAGGTTATTGGTTTTGAAGTTGTGAAAGAATTATATGAGAAAAATCTTGAATTTAGTGAGATGTGAAAGTCTAGTTCTCAACATCCTTATCGACAATTTCACCAATAAAAGGGGTATCCTTTCAAAGGTAACTAATTGTGCACCCCTTAATGTTCTCTATGCCAATCTATTATTTAGAAAGCTCATAATGGAGGATACATCTTAATTTAAAGTAATGGTTTTTGGAATTCGATAAGACATACAATTTTTTTGAATTACAAATAAGCTATGTGAGAAACATCATCTATTTTATGGCATGGCACAAAATGAGCCATTTTGGAAAATCTATTGACAACCACCATTACAGAGTCCTTTTACCTTTGTGTCCTTGGTAAACCCAAAACAAAATCGATACTCACATGTACCCAAGGAGCTTCAGGAATGGGTAATGGTTTATATGTACCAGTGTTCTGATTTACAAGCTTGGGAATGTGGCAAGTACGACACCTTTGAGTATGTCGAATGATATCTTGTTCTAGGTTGGGTCAATAAAATTTTTCTTTCACAAGAGTCAATGTTTTGTCTCTCCCAAAATGTCCAGCTTTCATATTAACGTATCAAGATTGCCTTGGCCAAGGACTTTTAGTCAATATAAGCTAAGAGCAAATGAGATATGTCCCCTTTAAATCACTTTGGATGATGAATCCTATCTAGACTACTCATTCATCTTCACATACTTCATGCCAGACCCAAAAGTATCACGATTGGGTATCTGATTGCCTCTAGACCCGTAAAGATGAAATCAAAGCATGACAATTACATACAAGATGACTTAGTATCACAAATTTAAGGATTACTTACATTACTGACACATGAGAGTATGTTCATAGACACTTGAATGAAATATCAAATGAAACTCTCATAGCAAATCATGTTAAGTGAACTTTTTCCTTAACAAGCACCCCACATACTATCCCCAAGTATCTCGCATACTTCACCCTATGAGATCAGTTACTTGCTTTAAAAGTAAGGAGGTTTAGCATGTACCAACCTTTAGGCATTGTCATTGCCTTTTTTTTTATAATACAATGACCAGGAACATATTTAGGAACAAGACTTTGATCTGTAAGAATCTCATAATTATAACTTTTATAATTTCTTTACAAAGTCATTATGTTCTAGGGACTTTGTCTACTTAAGTCTATCATAACTTTTTATAAATAAACTCATGGATAAAGAAATACCTCATATATTATATAAAATATCCGTAATGTATTTAACATGAAATATGACTAATTAATGTAGTGTTTTGCAAACAAAAAATTAATTGACTTGTAGGGCTTACACTAACACCAAAACCTTAAAGAAAGTTGAAGAAGCAGTAACATTAAAGGTAGTGAATCAAATATATTAGGTATAGGTGCAAGAAATGGCAATAGAAGAAGAAAGCTTTTCAATGAATGGTTGCATTAAAAATGCCTACAAGATTCAGAATGATAGTGGGATGGAGGATAAAATGGGTTTAGAAGTGCTTGACAGGGATGCCATGTTAAAAGCTAGGGAAAAAGGGAAAGAAATGAAGGATCATTGATAAGTATACTGTACACAGCAAAGCAAGTGACAGTACGAAACCCAGCAAAAAGTAACGAGAAATTTTCAAATTTTAAGAAGTCAAATGAGATTAACCATTGGGAAGAAAGAAAGGTTGTAGACAGTGACATGAAATAGGTGTTAGCTAGAAATAAGGGTATGAGTGAGTGTGAAAAGTTGAAAATGGAGAGGAAACAACAAGGTAAAGATAAGCAAAGGAAAGAAAAGAAAAAAGATGACAATTTCTTTTCAAGTTTTAAGTGAAAATAAGACACAGGAGCCTTTAGAGGCTATAACAGAAGGCTATAAGAGTGAAGAGGTTAATGGAATGCAACTTGGTTGTGAAAAAAGTTGAATGAAATGGAAAATAATGGGCCTAAAATAATTGAAGAAAGGGGATTAAGAGGAGATGACATGGAAAAAACAACAAAGGTTGAGCCGTATGGGCTAAGTGAAGTAGAAAAGGTCCAAGAAGAATAGGGGCCTTTAAAGGGTTCAGTAAGGAAGTTAGATGCTAAAAGCAAGGAACAAGGGTGCATCACTCCAGCAACACTAAAATTAGTTAAATTAGAGAAAGAAGTGGTGTCGTTTTTAATACCACTCTGTGGAAAATTGAAGAGTAGAAAGTTTGGGTTACTTAGTGAGATTGAGGAATAATTGGGAGAGAAAAGGAAAATCACAAGCAAAGGCAAGAAAAAGAAGAACAAATTGAAGAATGTTACGTTGAGCGATATGGAGCCAATAAGGATGATAGATGCTTCTGTCTCTAATGGGGATGTGATAAATAGATATAAAGTGATTTTAAAAAAAGCAACACACATTTGGGAGCTTGCAAAAGCATTGGGAATCACTGACTGGGGTAATGAAGGTGATGTGATCCAAAGGATCAAAAGCTTGATAGGAAGTTTCAACAGGACGATGAGGTAAGTGGAGAGGGATGGGCTTTGTACTTTGAGTTGATTTATGATGGGTTTTGATCTAATAAATGAAATAAAGATGGTTTTGTCAAAACGTAGAGGGACGACATTATATAGTTGCATGGGGTTGTCAAAATGAAGGGGCTTTGAGGAAGCAAAATAACCCTAAGGTTCCATAAAAGTGTCCTTTTAAAGGTTTGTTCAAGTTCAACACCAACGGAGCTGCTAGGGTTTGTCCAAGGGTTCTTGGAATTGGAGGGATACTACAAGATAACACTATGCTATCAAGCTTGTTTTTTCTAAGAAAGCTAGATGGCGTAACGCTAACCTCGCTGAAGTTCGGGCAATGGGAGAAGCCATGATTCTATTAACAGCCTTTTCTTAGGTGAACTGTAATATCATCATCATCAAATCTAACTCCAAAAACGTTGTGTCTTAGGTATCCAATCGTAGTTTAGCCTTGTGGCGACTATGACAACTCATTCTTTAGATTTGCTCGATCAAAAATAAAATGGTTAGCAACTGACAGATAAAGCATATCTCAAGGTTAAGTAATGAGGTTGCAGATAGCCTTGCCAAATATAAGGTTGACAGATTTCATGATCTTCTATGTCTCTACCCTTAATTGTTTTGGATGGTGCTCTCCTTGTGTTTGCTACTACTTGTTGCTGTGTTTTTTATGCAAGCCTCCAATGATAGTGAGCTTTCCTTGGGCTCCTTTGCTCATGAAAAGGCACTGACATCCTTAAGAATGACACGAACCATATGATTGTTAGAGGATGAAACATCCACGGCATTTATGTTTCTTGCTTTTACTTGTTCCTTAACCTCTTTTTACTTCAAGGCTAGTTGTGGTCTTTTGTCTGTTTTGTGCTTGTCAATACTCTTGTAAAGGACTTAAGTTATTGCTAGCTAATTTTTGTAAGCCAGTTCCAGAACAAGATCTTAGGTTAATTTTTGCCAAGTTCCCTTTCATTTTTATGTTCTTGGGTTCTCCCCTTTTGATAAGAATTCATTCCATACTTAATCTTTAAAAAAAAAAGAAATGAAATTCAAAAAGAAATGAGAAGAAAAGAAACAAAATAAAATGGTAGACTAAAAATGTTTTATTTGAAAATGGATATGCATGGTTGGTTGAAGTCAGGATGTGGGTTGAAGCTTAGGGATACTTACTAACTTCAATGCAGGTGGTTGTGGCATTAATTAAGCAAGTAGTGGGGTGTACAAAGGGAGGGAGAAGTTATGTGGTGCATGAGATTTTGGTGCAATTAATGTGCCTGTATGGAATTTATATTCTTGATTGTGTCATATGATGAGTTCAGTATTTATTGCAATGGCTACTTGTCTTGCTAGTGAAAATTAGTTGCTTATGGGTATTGAGATGGTGCTTTTCTTGATTGATTGTTGCTAATGTTGTGAGGTAGATATGTTTGGTGTTTTTTGAGTTTTGTGACTTGTTATTTGGATTGTGGGGAGTTCTTTTTTATTTATGATTTTGATTCTTTAGCTAAATTTTTTTGCTCATTTATATGGTTTGGTTTCTGTTGGATTGGAAGTTTTGTGGGTCTTAGGATGATTTTTTGTGTTACATGATGATGAATGGTTGTTTTGTTGGGTATTGGATACGAGGTGGATTACTAAAAAGGATAAGCTTTTGTTGGAATATCTTTTCAATTATGGGTTATTGATGTTCTCTGTTTACCAGAGGCAACTTTAGTTTTCTATTTTTTTTACCATGTTTTAGTATCAGTTACAAACTTTGAGAGATTTGATAACATTTATATGAAAAGTAAAGAAAGTGCAAAACATTTTTGATCTTTTGAAAAGAGCTAAAGAGGATGAATGTTGTTTTTGGGGTTTTAATCTTTTGATGTTTTAGGGTGATTTTGTGGTTTTTTGGGAGACTATTGAAATTTTTTCAAGGTGTACTTGGGGTTTCTTGCTTTGGGTTGCAATATTAAAGTGTTGAGTTATACTAGCCTCTATCCTCAAGCGATTATAATCTTTTAGAGCAACTACTTGCCTGACTCCTTATTGCTACAACTAGAATATTAATGAAATCTACATTATTAGCTGAGCCAAAAAAAAATAATATGCATTCTCAATGTTCAAATTGCAGCTAATCAACATGAGATCTAAGTAGACAAAACAATAAAACTAATTGCCAAAATCATGTGAGGGATATTGTGACTTAGTTGCATAGTTCTCTTTCCACATCCATTTTAGGAGCCACAAGTTGCAACAAGGATATTTCTCCAAGAGGCTGTGCCAAGGATCTTTGGCAATAAAGAAACTCATTGGACACTTGTTTCATCGTTGGTCGAGACTTCGGTTCCATAGGTAAGCATGCGAATGCTAGTGTGGCAACAAGAACAATCTTTTGGGTGTCTATATGACTTGTTGGAGCTGATAGACGAGGGTCCAATATATCACTTAACATTATATTTTGCAAAAGGGAATTTGATGGAAACAATGATAACAGTTCTTGGGGATGCCTTCCCATCAACACTTCCAAAGCCAATACTCCAAAACTATAAACATCACATTTTTCAGTTACTGTCATTGTGTAAGCAAGCTCTGCGAGAAAAAAAAATAAAAAAATGTGTGAAAAAAATGGAGCAAAGAAAAAGGAAAAACAACATATCTCCAATTCTTACCTTAAGATTCCTCAACATCTCCTTCATATTAATGATAACTTCCTTAATCCAAATGCATTTAAGTATGTGTAATCAATGAATATCTAGTTATTCAAACTAATTTGACAGGAAATTAGTATGCTCTTCGAGCTGAGGCAGTGAAAGCAAATTTGTGGACGAAAATTTTGAATTTAAGGAAAAAAAATGTAAAGGGTGGTGCATATATATAGTTAGGGACTTTAATACGTTAAGAGATGAAACAGAGATAATGAATTGTTTGCGTTTGAGGATTATAGTGGAGGATTTAAATAATTTCATTTACAAAAGAGATTTGCCTTGGGTGGGAAAATGGCTCACATGGTTCTGGGGAGACCTAAAAGAAGATTTGACATGGTTCTAGTTATGCTAGAATGGTTAGAGGAGTTATTTGCATTAGGTCAATTTTCCCTAAATAGACTGGTGTTGGACCATTTCCCCAAATTGATGAGTTTAGAGTAAATAAATTGGGGATCAGGACCTTTCAAGGTAACGAATTGTTGGTTTTCAAAAAAGGCCTTTACAAACGTAATGGAGGGTAATGGAATTTGTTTTGTGTTGATGGGAGATTGAGGTATTGTTTGAAGGTTAATATGAGCATGACAAAATATTTTCTAAAGTGGAATATCGAGGTGTTTGGTGTAGTTGAGAAAATTATTGAGAAGTTAGATAACAAAATAGAAAAAAATTGATATTTTATGAAATGCGAAGGAATTGCGGAAAAGTGAGGTTAGGACTGACAAAAGAACTTTGGAGAATATTTTCATTGTGGCAAAAAAATTAAGAAAAAAATGGATCAAGGAAAAGGATAGGAACGCGGAGTATTTTCATTGTAAAGTGAAGATGAGAGTCCACAAAAATAATATCTTAGGCCTAACTATAAATGGAAGGTGGAAGGAGGAGTCCAAGATAGTGAGAGAGAAGATATACGAGTATTTGTTTCAGAAGCATAGGCACGACCAGCATTATCAGAGGTGACTTTGAACGTAGGAGATGCTTTAGGTTGAAGAATGAAATCGATGGGCAGAGTACGCCTCATCTGGGCTGTTTTGGGTTAAGAGCGTTTTGTTGTTTACTTTGGGCCCAGGGCTTCACTGAACTTTCTTTTATGATGAATTGCAGGTGTCGAAAGGTATTTGTAAAATAGAAAGGAGATATTCTTCTTCTTCTTTTTTAACACGGTGAAATGTTGGCTTAGCAAAAACTTTAAAAAATATGACAAGATGCCTTATATAATTTAACATGTGTAGCACATTAGACAACTAAATAAGCTAGGGGATGGAAAAAATATGAAAATGTAGTAGTAGTAGTTGTAGTGGAACAACTAACCTGGAGCTACATAACCATAAGTACCGGCCAAAATGGTTTGATTGGATGAATCAAGCTCTAACATTCTAGCAGTTCCAAAGTCGGCAACAAAAGCCTCCAAGTTTGAGTTCAACAAGATGTTGTGACTTGACAGATCTCGATGGACTATTGGAAGTGAGCAATCATTATGCAAGTAAGACAATGCATGTGCTATCCCCTGGACGACGTCAACTCTTTTTGACCAATTCAATTCTATAGCTTCAACATCCTTTGTTAGGACACTACACAAGCTGCCTCTTTCCAGGTATTCATATATCAAAAACATGCTCCGTTGATGTACACAGAAACCATGCAGCTTCACAATATTTCGATGACAAACTTCTGATAAAAACTTTATTTCATTCATGAAACTTTTGTCAAAATTGGGATCCTCAGCATTTAGACGATGAAGCTTCTTCAAGGCCACTGTTTTGCCACTAGGTAGTTCTGCCTTGTAAACACTTCCATGACCACCAATTCCAATACAATACCTAATGTTAAAATCCTCTGTCGCTTTAATAATGTCTTCGTATGCTATCCTTCCATCATAGTTCAATACGGAGAACAAATTTCCAGTTTTCGATATTTGCATTCCATTGTTACTCTTCAAGAAAAATTGGAGCAATACCCGAGAGCTTATTGTAGCTAAGGTCCCAGTTATTCACATGTGATAAATTCTGCAAGGGTAAAGGTATCTCTCCGCTGATAAAGTTATGACTAAGATTGAAAGAGATTAGCCTTCCAAGGTAGCCAATTTGAGACGGGATCGGTCCATTCAATTTGTTTTTAGAGAGGTCCAATGAATAAAGTGCTCTTAAATTCCCAATTTCTTGAGGTATTGGACCTTCTAAAAGATTTGATTGAAGGTGCAAAACATTCAAAGAAAGAGGCAAAGATGAAGGGATTGAACCAACAAGCATATTGTTGGATAAATCTAAATAACGCAAAACCGTTGGACTGATGAAAGAGATAGGACCAGTGAGAGTATTATTGGACAAATTCAGAGTTTCTAACATAATCAATTGACTTAGAGTAGAAGAGATTGAGCCAACGAGCATATTGTTGGAAATATCCAGAGAAGTCAACTTGGTCAACCGACCCAAGGTGGAAGGGAATGAGCCAACAAGCTTATTGTTGGACAGATCAAGAGTGGTCATATTGGTCAATTTGCCCAAAGTGGAAGGAATTACACCAACTAGCTTGTTGTTAGACAGATCCAGAGTAATCAAGTTCTTCAGTTCCCCTATTTCTGGAGGGATGTAATTGTAGAACTGATTAGATCTCATGTCTAGATGAGTAAGATTACTCAAAAGGCCGAGGGCAGATGGAATTGATCCAGTAAGGTTATTCCAACACAACCTTAAAAGAACAAGATTTTTCAAGTTTCCAAGATCCTGGGAAATAGAACCACTGATTTCATTATAGGAAAAATCAAGCTCTTCTAACTGGCTCAAGTTTCCGAGTGAAGGTAACTCACCTGTTAGATAATTCCAGTTGAGGTAGAGGTTCTTGAGTTTTGATAGAGCAGCTATTTCGGGCGGGATGCTTCCATTGAGACCATGATCATTAAGATTAAGATGAACAAGGTTCGGAAAGGAAGAGAAGTTCATTTTTCCAAACTTAACACCAACCTTAACGATGTTAGGCGGTGGATAAATGTCGGTGATGCTTCCATCGTTGTTGCATGATATACCTGTCCAATTGCAGCGATTGGAGATGAGGTTGCTGTAGCTACTCCACCAACCACTCTCGAGCAAAGCTTTTGCCTCTAAATCTAGTGATAATTTTGTTCCTATTATAGTTGAAGCAGAGGAAAGAACAATAATGGTCCGCCACAACCCCAATATTATGAAAGTGATCAAGGAGGATGCCATGGTTAAGCTTATTTTTCATAGGATCAATTACAGCATGTGAATGAATTTACAGAAGGTTTATAATTGATTCAAGGTGTCAAATTACCAAATTGCCTCATGTGTCTATGAATAGTAAACGCTGACTTTTGTAACCTGGAAATTGGAAAGGTCTTAGTCAGCTTCTCATTTTACGTGTGAGCTGTGATGAAAATGAAAAAGGTAGATCCATGGGCTTTATTATATGTATATACATATAGAGTTTTTGCTACTGATGTATTCTTAAACTATCTTCCTGGTCTTCCTTATCCTTTGCCCGGCTGACCAGAAAGTTGAGACTGCTATTCATTTTTCTCTCAGTGATCTCAGAGCAACCAAAAACCGAGGGGGTTAAGGGTCCAGCACAGGCTGAATATGCCACCACCCTTATCCTTTGCAAAGCAAATAAGAATATATCCGAGGGGATTGACCTTAGAGAAGGACCAATCTTGCTAAACCAGATGAGTTTAACAGATAAAAACTTTGGCTCTGCAAGTCCTTTTCTATATTAACAAGGAGATTGTTGCCCTCTCTAGGTCCACCCGTATGGGAATCAATTATAGAATGATGTTATATTTGACAAAAGTGTCTACAATTATAGATAATTGTGTGGATTTTGATAAGGTTTTGTAATCTCAGTCAAGGTGGCAAAGTACCAAATTGCGCGTGATGACTTGTAGAGTCAACACTGACTCTTCCAAACCAGAAATATTGCACATTTAAGATGAAAACGCAGCACCAGGTCCCACTGTGGGAAGGGAACAATTTTTCGTAGAACCCTCTGTTTTTTTTTGTTTGCTAATGGCGTATGCTTCCATATCTTATCCTTCGCTAGCCCGGAAAACTGAGGCAAGTTCCTCGTTGTCTTCTCTTTGTCTCATGGTTCACACAGCAACCAATGTTTCAGCAAGGGAATGAGGGGTCCAGCACTGGCTGCCTTTGCCCTTTTCCTTTCTTATGCGAATAAGAAGGTAGGTATTGGCTCAGTTGCGGCAAATTTTTTCAACATTTCCTGAAACTTTTTAGGGTATCAATCTTTTAATAACTGGACCAGCTAAGCCCATTCAATTCAAAGCCGCATTATTGACTGAACTTTTAGTTTGGTATTAAATACAAAATACATAACACAAATTAGCATTTGATTAAGTGATTAGAATTCCTATTGATGAAAGTTAGAAGTTCCAGTGTTATAATTATTTACAAACTTTTAAAGAATAAAATTAATGCAACTTTTTACCCTTATTACCTTTAACTATAACTACTCTCTTCCTTGTTATTTTCCGGTCAAGAATAATTTTGTAAAAAGAATTTATAATCAATATAAATCAAAATTTAACTTAAAATTTCTTAAATTTTGTACAAAATCAAAATCAAAATCAAACTATATATGAGATGTATAGCTCTAGCCTAATTTCTTATAGTAACAAGAAGAATGTTGTACAAAATCAAATCAAGAAGAATCTTTATTACCTTTAGTCTTTTTTTTTTTTGCTATCACAACTAACGATGCAACACTTAACCCTGAATTATCTTCTTTAAGAGGAGGTAGAAGCCCTTTGGGAGGTTCCTCCAAAGCCACATCACCAAATAAAAAGACTTGGCTAGAAATTTTAGATTTTTAGTAAAATCAAAGTGTGGACTTATCTTATTTATTTATTTGATAACAAGACAATATTATTCATAATATAATCTTATAAAATGAGTTAAACTCCAATATTATGTGGGTTTAAAAGTGTAAACATGTTTAAGAAACTTTGAATCTTATACAAAGTGAGACTAAGAAGTCACTAAAAGTTGAAAAAACTAATTAAATACGTGAGTAAGAAAATATAGTAGCATAGGTTTACTATTTGAGGAACTTTAAAATAATGATGTAGTGTATTCTATGTGTAATGTGCTGTCAGGAAGGTTCCAACTAAGGCACTGCTTGTTTTTCTGCTCTGCTCATTAAAGTAGGATTCTTAACACAATAGATAGAGAAAAAAAAGAAACTGAGGAGGGTGTTAGGCAAGCCCCTTTTTTGTTTTAAGGGTGCTGTATTATCTGTGTGCAGGTGATTGGTGACTGAAGCTATCTTTATTTTTTGTGGTAGCATTCTTTTGTAATTGTACAGGTTCTCAAAGCCCTTACCACCCCATTATGTCATGAAAAATCTAATTGAAGGTATATATGAGCCTAGATATACAATGGCAAGCTAAAATTGAAAATTTGGTCTTTAATTAGGGTACAAAAAGTGTTAAAAAAGAAGGGAAATAACTTGGTTTATAGACAAGAGAAAGCATGACAATATAATTTTGGGTTTTAGCAAATTTAAAATATGATGAATTAAGGTTGAATGTTGGTGAGAAGATGCATGCATTTTAGGTCAGGTTTCTATCAAGATTAAGGACAAATAATCAAGAGAAAGAAAAAAGGATGGTAGCTGAAAATATAATTAACAAAAGAACCCTAAACGTATTGATGGTGGATAGACAGCTAATTAGAGATATGACTTAAAGAAAAAAACGACGCAATTCTTTCCACTACAGACTATATAAATGTGGACTAGCATCAGCCATCAGTTGGCATCGGAAAGCGACACAATGGGCACTTATGACTCGTATTCAGCCACTCCTGGATACAGTCTCCATGGAAGAGATGGGAACAGGGCATGCTAGTGACCTCTGTTCCAGAGGAGAGTTGCTCCATGCAAATCATGCACTCTTGGGCTATATCACCTTCAACCTTCACTTTTTTCAGAGCCTGGATGGATTCTTTCGTTGCAGGAAGGGGCCTAGGAGCTTCCTGCAAAGACAACTCTAGTGCCATACCCTCTAACTCATCCTCCCACCTCACGAACTTGTTGACGCAGAATCTTATTGTTGGAATGCTGCGAAAATCACGTCTATTTTTCTCTCTTTGTAAAATCAACTTGGCCTCGGAGAAAGCCTCGTCCAAGATCCTTTCAAGACTGCGCTGACGCCACCCAGCTTCACGTAGACGTTGAGCTACATGGCGGCGGTGTCGATTCGAGCCAAACACAAAGTCTAGCAAAAAAAATTTCTCCTGGAATTCCTCCTCCTGATCCTCTTGCACATTGCCATTATCATCTATGAGGAACTTACGGATTTGAAGATGATATCCGGCTTGGGAAAGGTGAGGAATGAGGGTGAAATCGTGGTCTAGCTTCACACGGCATGTGAACCTTGCTTCCCTTCGTGCCATGACCGATCACTCTTTTCAGAAACAAGGGGCAATGAGAATGATGGAGATCAACGTGAATCAGAGGAGAAAAAGACCTCCGGACTAGTGTTTACTTGAATGAAATATTTTAAAGGAGGTATCTTGATATATATAATTCCTATACTATCCCAATTGTAAAAGGATTTGGTTTCTTTTCTTGGGTCCATCAGGATTTGGTTTCTTTGAAAAAAAAGAAAAGAAAAAGCGCAACTTCCTTGAAGGAAATCAACGCTACAGAAAATATTATTGTTGAAGTAAACTCTTGTCCATTATTCTTTAATTTTGAAAATGATATTAATTGTCCCCCTATAATAAGTTAATTCTCTATTAATTAATTCAATTTAAAAGGTATAATAAAAATGGATTTTTAATGACAATTTTGAAATATAATAGATGGTTATTTCCTTTTCGCTTGTGCTTTTACATATACTAGTTTTTGCTACATGTGCATTTGCACGTAAACGATTTAATATCTTAATGTTATAATTATAATAATAATAAAAATAATAAGCTAGTGGATCATGATTTGATTTATCTTCCATTGGCTAACATTTAAGTATAAGAACAGAAAATTATATATACATAAAAAGTGATGTATTCATGAAAAATATTGAAATTAAATAAAATTGAATTCTAAAATCAAATTTCCTTTTAAAAACCAATATATTATAACTAATATAAAATTTTGAGATCATAACAAGAAAAAAAAAAAGAAGGAGAAAGCACGTGGATTGTAACACATATCCTCTTAACAACAAATAATTTCTCAATTAGTTACATATTTAGAAAGTAATATAGTAACCCAAAACACAATCATTTATTAAGACATACCATCAAATAGTTATTGAAAAATTTTAAAGTTTGAAACTTAAATTTTCAGCAACTAATTAAAAAATATAAGTAATAAAAGATTCAAAAAAGTAAAGAAATAAAAGAGAAAAAAGTTTATTTCTACTGAATATTAGATATTCGAGGACAATTAATTGCAAGTGGTAGATTACTATTTTATTAATCAATCAAGTTTATGAATATATTTATAAGCAATTTTCTTGAATAACTTTTAAGCACCGGATCTTGATTCCTTAAAAAGCCACTAAATATACAAGTTTTATTTATGCTTTTGTTGATGTTTGGGCCTATTTTTTATTTTTTTTATTTTTATAGATCAATTATTTAAATAGGCTCATGATTTCCGGCCTTAAAGTTAGAAATGTCAGTCTTGAATTATATATGTATGGGCTATGTTACATGAGTCAAACAACTAAACCAATAATTGGTTGTAGTTTTATTTGTTAATTAACAGTCAATTAACGTAGTAAGCTGTTATACAAAAAGCCCAGGTCTGATTTGATTATAATCGCATGATATATGGTTGGATTATAAGTTTCCAAATTATTTCAATCAATAATAAATTAGTGTAGCAAAACAAAAATATTTTTTTTCAACACCAAGGAACCTTGCTCTAGTTACGATCTGTGCAATTGTAAGTCTCTATTAAGTATAAAGTCAGCAGCACACACTTGTATTGGCTAAATAAATAAAAAAGACAACAGCTTTTGCATGTATTCCCTCAAATTCTCTCAACAACATAATTTTAATAAATTGGGTTAGAGAATTTCTTAATACTGAGAGCATCGATTCCATAAAACAACATGAATGCAAGAGCCCTAATATGTATATATATATATATATATATATATATATATAAGCCCAATATAAAAAGAAATCAATAGGTAATGTAAGAAACTCTTCGTCAACCAAGACCATTTAACATTTAACAAATAGTTTATTATTATAATCAATTAAATCATACAATTATTATGGTAGATATTATCTTTAAAATCAAAGAAAACCAAAAAGGCAAAAAACAGCCTAGAAGGCCCGATCAGTGATCTCAATTAATTATTAAAACCTAATTAACAAATAGTTTATTATTAGTATCAGTTAAACAAGCAAACATTTAAAAAATAGTTTATTATAATTATCAATTAATTAAACTACTGAATATTTAATGAGCATATTAATTGCTAAAAACCTACTTTTACGGATATATATATATATATATATATATATGTACACACAAAACTTTTTTAAAAGTAGACGTTTGACACTTCATAAAACTTTATTAATAATGTTTAGGCATCAGGGGTTATACATTTATATGGATAATAATGCTTTATTAATTGAACCAAACATGCCATTTGATAACAAAAGCACATTCATGAGAAGAAAGACAGCGAAGTGCACCCGAAAGAACAAGGAAGGCCGAAGGCTAGAATCATGGTTTCGGCTCTTCGATCACCCAAATACAAGGCCCAATAAGAAACCTGGACCTACGTTTCTTCTTCATGCTCTAACTTTACCCTACCTCGTTGCTGGAACAAAACCAGTTAACTTGAAACTCCCCTAAACAAGCCGCCACTACCAACTCTCTCTCTGTGTCTCCCAAGAGACAGAAACCCCAGAAGTAAGTCCACCCCAAACCGCCAATTCAACCTCAAAAAAGGAAAAGAAAAAAATGTCAGCCAAGTGGAGAGCTATTCAACACCGCCACCGTTACACATACAACGCCGTCGTTTTCCCACCTTCCTTCATTGATTCCTTGAACCAGTCATCTCTTTCCGCCTCATCTCCTACCTTCTACACTGAGCTTCAACATCTCATCTCTTTAAACTCAACTTATTCCCAAGTTAATCATGTCAAAAAAGTGGCCTCTTCTTTCAATGAATTATTAGTAAAAGAAGGTGAAAAAAATGAGGGATTGGTTTCGACGGCAGCATCTTTTTACTTGGAAGTTTTCTTTTTGGAAAATTCAATGCCCTTACATAGAACCCTTTTGTCAGTTTTGTCTAAAACCAAGGATGTTTTCCACCCTGTAATTGGTGAGTGTTTCAGGGTGCTTTGTAACGAGTATGGTAGGATGACTAATAAAAGGAATCGTCTTTCTGTTTCACGTGTGGCTTTATCTGTTATGGGAATGCCAAAGTTGGGGTTTTTAGTTGATGTGATTAAAGATTGTGCTGTTTTGGTTTGTTGGGACATTGTTTTGGGGTTGAAAAGTGTAGTTTTGGAGACGGAAGAGTGGGCTAGACCTTCTCCTATTGTTTTGGAGCAGTGTCAGGAGGCTTTGTCTTGCTTGTATTACTTGTTTCAGAAGTTTCCAGGCAAATTTAAGGACTTGGGTACTGAAGATTCTAATGTGATGGAAACGGCTTTGGGGGTTTTGATAAGTGTGTTAAAATCAGTGGCATTTTCAAGGGACTGTTTTGTTGCGGCCGGTGTGAGTTTCTTTGCTGCTTTGCAAGTTTGTCTCAGTGATCAAGAGCTTGGTTTGTTCATCATTGAAGGTATATTTGATCAAATTGTTAGTATTTCTGGCACTAATAGTGAGGGTTCATTTAGTAATGTTATTAGCAAAGTTCCATATAAAGGAGATGTTTGTCTTGACGTACGAAATCTCTCTGTGTTGAATAGGCTTTGCTTGATTAGAGGCATTCTTACTGCTGTTCCGAGAATGGTACTGAATACAAATTTTGTTGTATCTAGGGAAATTTTTAATGATTTTGAGTCTGTTGGAAATATTGTTAGTTCTTTGAAGACTATATTGTATGATGGGATTTTGCCTGAGCTATGTAATTACTGTGAGAACCCCACAGATAGCCATTTCAACTTTCATGCATTAACTGTGATGCAAATTTGTTTGCAACAGATTAAGACCTCTATGCTAGCTAACCTTACAAATGCATCTGAAGAGTATAATCCGTTACCGGAGGATATGGGGACTCGAATGCTGAGAATAATATGGAATAACTTGGAAGATCCTCTAAGTCAAACGGTCAAACAAGTTCATCTTATTTTTGATCTTTTCTTAGACATCCAGTCCTTGCTTTGTGGGACAGAGGGTAGTGAGAAAATAAAGTCCTTCCTACGAATGATTGCTTCAGATCTTCTCCGTTTAGGATCACGTTGTAAGGGGAGATATGTTCCTTTGGCTTTGTTGACCAAGAGGTTTGGAGCAAAGACCATGCTGGATATGAGTCCTGACCTGCTGTTTGAAATAGTACAGGCATACACTGATGATGATGTATGCTGTGCTGTGACGTCATTCTTGAAATGTTTCCTTGAATATTTGCGTGATGAGTGTTGGAGTAGTGATGGTGTTGAAAGAGGATATGCACTTTATAGAGGACATTATTTGCCGCCCTTTTTGCATGGTCTTGCTTCTGGGATTTCAAAGCTTCGATCGAATTTGAACACATATGCTCTTCCGGTGTTACTAGAAGTGGATGTTGATGGTATTTTTCCTCTGCTGGCCTGTATCTCCATTGGGCCAAGTGGAGTGGAAAATGAACTCTTATATCCTGAGCTTGATTGCACAAATGTGGAACTACAAGTAGAACAGAAAGTGGCTGTTTTGGTCTCCTTGCTTAAGGTATCTCGCTCACTTGCTTTGATTGAAGGGGACATTGATTTTTGTGATGATTCTAAAACATTTGATACAGATGATATGCTGGAATCAAAAAGCTTTAATCTCTATGCACTTATCTGCATAAAGGGGATAAAAGTGAGGATCCTTGTTGGGTGGCTTGTATTGGCATTGACACACATTGATGAGTCACTTCGTGTAGATGCTGCAGAGTCTCTTTTCTTAAACCCCAAGACATCTAGTCTGCCTTCCCATTTAGAACTCTCTCTAATGAAAAAAGCTGTGCCATTGAACATGAGGTCTTCTTCAACAGGTTTTCAAATGAAATGGAGCAGCTTGTTTAGGAAGTTCTTTTCTCGTGTACGTACAGCCTTGGAGAGGCAAGTTAAGCAGGGCAGCTGGCAGCCTCGCATGAACCATGAAAATAATGAGTTGTGTCTTTCGAAGGGAACTGAAGAAACTGTAGTTAGTAGAGCACAGGAGCTATTTAATTTTATGAGGTGGTTGAGTTGTTTCCTGTTTTTCTCATGTTATCCTTCTGCTCCTTATAAGAGAAAAATAATGGCCATGGAGCTTATACTGATCATGATCAATACTTGGTCTGTCATACCTTCTTCTCAAGAAAGCTCAGCTTCTATTTCTCCTGAGAGCTGTCTTTATCCTTATAGTGTAGGAATTATGTCACCTGACTCGACTTTCCTGTTAGTTGGATCCATAATTGATAGTTGGGATAGGCTGCGAGAGAGTTCTTTCCGCATATTGCTACATTTTCCCACTCCGCTTCCTGGCATTTCCAATGAAGGCATGGTCCAGAAGGTAATTACATGGGCTAAGAAATTAGTTTGCAGTCCACGTGTTAGAGAGAGTGATGCTGGTGCTTTAACCTTACGGCTCATATTTAGAAAGTATGTTCTGGACCTTGGGTGGAGAGTCAGAGCTTCAGCTAATGTAGTTTGCTGCCATTCACAGTATACACTGTTAAATGGGGATTTTCTACAATGTGCATCTGTGCATCCTGTGATAGAATATGTACAATCACTTATTCATTGGTTGGATGTTGCTGTGGAGGAAGGAGAGAGGGATCTTGCTGAAGCTTGCAAAAATAGTTTTGTTCATGGTGTATTACTTACTCTACGATATACTTTTGAGGAACTGGATTGGAATTCTTATGCAGTCTTGTCTAGTATCTCAGAGATGAGACTTGCATTGGAGAAACTCTTGGAGCTGGTCGTGCGAATAACTTCATTGGCCCTATGGGTTGTTTCTGCGGATGCTTGGCATCTACCGGAGGATATGGATGAGATGGTTGATGGTGATACTTTCTTGTTGGATGGTCCTGATGAGATGGATGTGCCTGTACCTTCAACGGAACAAGAAGACAAAAGCTCAAAATCAATTCTGGATGCAAGACCATCGGATCAGATTGTTATGGTTGGTTGCTGGCTGGCTATGAAAGAGGTAGAAGCTTGTTTTTTATTCTATTGCAGTGTATTTCCTGGTATGCTGTTGAAAATGATATACTCATGATTTCTGCTTATTGCTGAAATTAAGACAAAGAAATGAGCTTGTAGCTAGTATACAGTTGTAATATCGAACAACCCCAAAATGAAGGAAATCCTTGAGTAATTAATATAGCCCCAGATATCTAGATTTCTTGGTTAATATCAATTAACTGCATAGTACTAACAGTACGATTCTTCTTGTTTCCAGCTAAGTCTTCTTTTGGGGACCATTATAAGGAAAATACCTTTGCCTAGTCACAGTTGTTCAGGTTCATTAGAACGTGGACACCCCTGTTCTGATTCTATTGATGCTTCGGTAACAGCAACTGGGGGAATGCTTGGTCTAAAACAATTAGAGAAAATTGGGAACCATTTCATGGAAGTTCTTCTGAAGATGAAACACAATGGTGCAATTGATAAGACGAGAGCAGGTTTTACAGCCCTTTGCAATCGTCTACTCTGTTCAAATGACCCAATGTAAGTTTCCTCCTTTGTCTTCCTGAGCTAGTGCTGAATGATCTTAGTTCTCATCTTTGCCTTAGCAGACTGCAAATATTTTTGAAGTGCCAACTAGCTTAGCTGGTACAGAATCGTAGTTTACCCAAGATCTAGGATCAAAACTTGCCTTGTCATGGTAGTTGGGATTTAATGAAGGAGAGAGCTTATGCCTCTGCTTACTCTAGTTATTGATTTCATTTTTTTTATCGAAAAAAATAGAAGAAAAAAAAGGGAGAGAGAGAGAGTGAGGAATGCTATATTTTTAATTTTTTATTCAAGTATTTCAAAGAGTTTTACTTAATTAGTTCAGGCTTGTGTTACAAAATGACCTGCATTAGATATCTACTAGTCCAGTATTGGAACATTATTTGTAAGATAAAAGGTATATGTTGTAAATCCAGTTAAGGGTGCCTTTCTTTGTAGGCTTTGTAAGCTGACGGAATCTTGGATGGAGCAGCTTATGGAGAGAACAATAGCAAAAGGGCAAACTGTTGATGATTTGCTAAGAAGAAGTGCAGGTATACCTGCTGCATTCACTGCTTTTTTCCTTTCAGAACCAGAAGGTGCTCCAAAGAAGCTTCTCCCACGAGCACTTAGGTGGCTTATAGACGTAGCAAATAGGTCTTTGCGGAGTCCATCTGAAGCCAATACCACAACTATCTCATGCCAGATTTCATCAACAAAGTCGGGCCAAGAGACTGATTCGGCTCTGATACCTGAGATGATTGCAACTGATAAAACCTCAAAAATCAGAGATGAAGGTGTTGTTGCAACAGTGCATGCATTTAACGTCCTTAGAGCTGCTTTCAATGACACTAACCTTGCTTCTGATACTTCTGGTTTTGCTGCTGAGGCTTTGATTGTTTCTATTCGTTCTTTCTCTTCACCATACTGGGAGGTTCGGAACAGTGCTTGTCTAGCATACACTTCCTTGGTACGTCGAATGATTGGGTTCCTTAATGTTCATAAACGAGAATCTGCACGACGTGCATTAACTGGGCTTGAATTTTTTCATAGGTACAAGTTCTTTCACTAACCATCTCTTACATTTTGTGTATTTCATACATGGATAACCATGTGAGCCTCCTATAAAGTTTAAAACTATTATGCTGAAGCTAGAATTTTATTTTACCCGCAAGTTAGTAGAAGTCAAGTCCTTCGCAGAGTAGTAAATTAAAATTCTGAGCATTGAAGGGTGGCATTTTCTGATTTAGTAAGGGAGGGGGTGGAACGAGGATGAAAGTATTTACTGGTTCTGTTTATGGGTAAATCCATATAGTAAAATATATTTTTTGAATAATCAAGTCCTAATAGTAATTTGCAAGACCTGGTTGTCTTCATTTTATGACCTTTTCTTTGGTGGCATAAAAGTTGATTACTGATTTTATAATTGCAAATTTTGCATATTTGTTGACATAGAATGGTAGATTGACAAGATTCTTTTAATGTTCATTTTTCTTGTTGTTTTATTGCATTTTATTTTTTTATCCCTTAAGGTAGCACATTCTTCAAATATAGGAATTATAGAACTTGTGTATATAATTCAACATGGTGCTGATTAGACTTGTGAGCTTAGAATCTGGTTTGCTAGGGAGTGATGGTTGGAGTCCTGATTTAGAGACAGCATATGACTTATAATCTGGGTTCACTAGCCTTTGCTGGCTTATCATTATTTGTTATGATTACTATTTGTGCACAATGAATGCAATAGTATATTTTATTGACTAACTATTGTTTAAATCTTATACCGAAGGTATCCTTCGCTGCATCCATTCCTGTCCAGTGAGCTGAAAGTTGCAACTGAGTTTCTTGGTGATGCTTTGTCTGGACAATCAGAATCCAACCTGGTAAAAGTTGTGCACCCAAGCTTATGCCCCATGCTGATTCTTTTGTCCAGGCTCAAGCCTTCAACAATTGCAAGTGAGACTGGTGATGACCTTGATCCTTTCCTTTTCATGCCATTCATTAGGAATTGCTCAACCCAAAGCAATTTACGAGTTCGTGTTCTAGCATCTCGAGCTATAACAGGACTGGTATCTAATGAGAAATTGCCAACTGTTCTCCTTAATATTGCTGTTGAATTGCCTCATTTAGAGAACCAAATTGCAGCAGGTTCTGCAGCACCCATCTCATTACATCCGGCCAATGGAGCCCACCATGCTTCCTTCAATTTAATTCATGGACTTTTGTTGCAATTAAGCTCTCTTCTTGATATAAATTGTAGAAATCTTGCTGATTTCGCAAGGAAAGATCAGATTCTTGGTGACTTGATGAAAGTTCTTGCAATGCGATCATGGATTGCTAGCCCCAAAAAATGCCCTTGCCCCATCCTCAATTGCTCTTTCCTGCAAGTGCTGGATCACATGCTTAGTATTGCAAGGTCATGTCACATGAGCACAAATTTGTTTGCCATTCGAAACCTACTTTTGGAGTTATCTACAGAATGCTTAGATGGAGAAGCTTCTCACGGGCTGCCATTTTATGATCCAACAATACCTGAACTTCGTCAACAAGCAGCAGCATCTTATTTTTGTTGTCTCTTTCAAACATCTGATGAAGTTGGCGAAGAAGTTTTTAAAATTCCACAAAGATCTCCCCTGGATTCAATGTTGTTGCAAATCCCTGAAGTGGAGAATGCTGGATTTTTGGAAAGGTTGGTTCGCTCTTTGTCAGATTTATCATATGAAGTTCGAGGAGTAACTTTGAAGTGGCTGCTTAAGTTCCTGAAGTCCAGAGAATCTGGCAGTGAGATAAATTATCTGTCTAGCAGCCAGACCAGAATTATTAAGAACTGGAATAAAGCTAACCTTCAGGCTACACTGATGAAGCTCTTGGAAGTGGAGAAGAATCATAGATGTACATATTACATCCTGAAGGTTTTCTTCACTTGGAACTCTCTTAAGTTTCAGGAACTATGTCAAGAAAAGAGTGATGAAACACTTTATGTTGGTGCATTGGATTGTGACTCCGTATTTCAGCTTTGGGATAGACTGATATCCATGTACAAGCTTACACGACACTCTAAAACACGAGAAACACTGGTCTGTTGCCTGGCAATATGTGTAAAGCACTTTGCAAGGCTATTTAGTAGTTTTATATTAACCGATAAGGGGCAGAAAACTACTAAATGTAATGAATCTGATCAGACAGATAGATCAGCTTGCTTTTATGAATGCATTACCTTTTTTCTTAAAGTAATTAAGCAACATAGTTCCTCATCTGAGCCAGTAAACATGCGCAGGGCAGCAACAGAATCTATTTTAGCATCTGGCTTATTGGAACAAGCTGAGGTAATTGCTCCTGTGTTCAACCAGCAAGTTTCTTCTAAAAATTCATTTTCCTGTTTTGAACCACAAAATGCTGTTGATAAATATGCACATCAAATACTGGAGATGTGGTTCACATGTATCAAGCTGCTCGAGGATGAAGATGATGGAATTAGACAAAGGCTCGCCACAGACATTCAGAAGTGTCTTTCCCCCAGAAGCTCTGGAACAAAGTCTGACACTTGTGGGGCTCCAACACAAGTGGAAAAAGTTATTGAACTGAGTTTTGACCATCTGTCTTCCAGCTTTGGCCACTGGATTGTATACTTTGATTATCTTCTGCGATGGGTGCTAGATGCAGCAAACTATGTAATATCCAAAGGTGATCTTGTGAGACGGGTTTTTGACAAGGAAATTGATAATCATCATGAAGAGAAGCTGTTGATTTGTCAAATATGTTGTTCCCACTTGGAGAAGCTTCCAATTACAAAATCTTGGGCAGGTGAATTGTTGAATAAAGAAGCGGTCATGAATTATCTGCTTGATTGGAGAATGAGATTTTACCATCAGTTGATATCATTTGCTAAGGACCATATTGGAAAACTGGGAGTTGACTGGATAGGCGGTGTAGGTAACCATAAGGATGCATTTTTACCAATATATGCAAATTTGCTTGGATTTTATGTCCTCTCAAACTGCATTTCCAATTTGGAGGCCAAGGATGGCCTGCCTCTACCATCTGATATTGTGGAACTGGGAAATGCTATTGATCCATTTCTTAGGAACCCATTGATCTCTAACCTGTATATGTTAATAGTTAGATCACATGAGAAGAAGTTCAGTGCAACCACCGACTGCTTAAACACCAGATTCAGAGATGATATTTGGTATGATTTTGATCCTTACTTTCTTCTTAGATAAGATTGTACTTGTACAATAGCATCGTAGATTATAACAGTGATTTAAGGAGGTCTTGAGAACTTGCGATAGAAACAAATTTTCATGATTATTGTATTATACTACCTAGCACTGCAACATTCTTTCGGAATATCAGTTTGTATAGTCTAATGCCTGAAGGCCTGTTTGAGAATATCTTAAGTTCTACCTTCAATTTTACCCTTCTGCATGTGATTGCTCGTTTTTTGGTTATCGACAATTGTAAGCCACTGTATAATTTTTTGAGACAGTGATTGGATGGCAAGATGTCGTCTCTTAAACAGCCCGCGGTTGGTTCCATGGTTAGTCTTTACAAGGGCGTTTTTGGTCATGTCTAGTCTCACATGGTTGGTTTAGGATGTCTTGCAAAATGGTGCATATGAAATGGGAGGCATGGATTTGTGAGCCAAACTTTCAATAGAAAAGGGCAAACGACATATATAGCCAGGATGAATGAACCTTTGAGACAAAACTGTTGAAGTATAATGAGCTCAAGGCAAATTTGGGGGAATAACTTTCATACAATTCAAAGTTTTGGGTCATTTCGTTAAATTTGGTACTCCCTGTTTACATCGAGAAAGATTTATGAAATTTTATGTGGAAGTTTGAGATCGCGTTGCCCATTAATAAGAACCTGCATGTTCTAGTACACTGCAAATGGGAAAAGTTCAATTGGCCACTGGATAAATCCCCCAATACTTGGTTAAGGTAGGGATTCTTGAATTGGAAGAACAGCATCCAGACCTCCATGCTAAGTGGAGGCAACCGAACAAGCCGAGAGAAGGAGGCTGACGGGGTTCTCACTTAACCAATTGCCTCTTGCCACTTACACGTCAAATTAATATTAATGATCAAATGACAGATTGTTGGGTATAGTTGTTTAAATTTATTAAGTATGATAATGTGCAAGGTGAACGTAGATTTATCCTCGCCGAAACAGACTGTACCAAGGCCTAAGACGTAAAATGGCTCAACTGATGAGAGACTGGAAAAATAACCATGGCAGCCATGCATTACTTGCTTCCATGAAGAACCATAAAAATTGCCCCTAAAATTGCTTTCAACAACCCATGATTTTGCCTCTAAAATGCATAAAGACCCTAAAACCAAGACATGTAGTTCATTTCTTCGCCTCATTTTGATCATCAACCCGATTGTCCTTATGATCACTTTCTCCCTCTTCATAACTAAGCAGTGTTATGATAAGCATAATCCACCGTCTTCTAGTTTTCTTGATTTTGAGGTTGGACAACAAGTAATACTCTCTAGTTTATGCATCCATCTTTTACCTTGGTAACTTAACCCATATTGGTGGAAAACTTTTAAAGTGGTAAAAGTTTTATCTTATGGCTATATTGAGATTTTTAGTATGTTTACATAAGCATTCAAGGTAATGAAACAAAGCCTCAAGCATTATTGCGGCAATGAAAAAGTGAAAAAGGGGGTATTATAGTCAAGTTAGTAACTAAAAAGAAGCACTTCTTGAGAAGCAATCCAAATTTCTAAACTTAGCTTATTTTAGTATTTATTGTCTTTAGTTTTGTTTACAATTTTTGCTTGTCATTTGATATTTCTTTTATATTCTAATTGTTTTGTGTCATAATTTGCAAATGCTAGGAGTCATTAAAAAAAATAGAATGCTTAAGCACCGCCATCCTCATCGAAGTGTAATGCTCTGAGTGCAGAAAAGTTGAGAGCCGTAGTGTCATGAACTATGCTTTTTCGTTTAAGTATGCGATAATTTGTGCGACGCTTGAGTGGACGCTTTCACACAAGCTAGTCGATACTCGTTTAAATATGATCAAACATCAATAATAATAACAAATTAGATAAAGAGAATACTTATCAAAATTATAGGGTATACCGAATGCCATATATGTAATCACTAAGCCATAAAAAAGGAAAATGTTTTATTAGTATGAAAATGAGTACAAAAGGACCAAGACATACCATCATTAAGCCATAAGGGCAGATCTAAATAATTTCTTACTAACAAACCTTTACCATTAAGGCAGCCTAACAATCCACTAACTATTCACCCCCTTCTAAAGTGTTTACAAGATTTTACACGTATTCTACCAATAGCCATTCCAAAGCTTGAGATTAGAACATTTCTTTCCTAAAGGGTTTTTTCCCTATAGACGTAACAAGTATTTTTAAAGATATCACAACGAGCCATTACAATATTTGAAAGAGGAACATTTCCTTTACAAGTATAAAAGACTCAATCTCTTAGACAACTCTACCCTATCATATTTTGATACAAGGTTGGCTCATGACATTTTCCCCCACTCAATTTGTCGATGTCCTCATTAACTGGTTGGCTTGAAATTCTTCAATCTTTTCTTGAAAAGTAATGAAGTCGACTTCTTTCTCTTAAGTGATCTCATCTGGTCCCAAACCTTTTCATCTCACCAAGTACTCTTGTGACGATCATTAGTTAATTATCGTCGTCATCTTACCAAAATCTCCTTCACTTGGCTTTGTGATGGTGGCTTGGTTTTGATGGCTGCCTTTGTGGCTCAACTTTTGCTTACTTTTGCTGGATCTGCATGAAACGACTTCAGATTGCTGACGTGAAACACGGGGTGTACCTTCATCCATTTTGGTGGATTAATCTTGTAGGAAGTTCTCCCCACCTTGGCTATAACCAATATTGGACTTTTATACTCTTACACTGGTTTTCAATCTATCTTCTTTAGGAATCAAAGTTGTTCAGGAACCAACTTCACCAGCACCAAGTCTCCTACTTTAAAGTGTTGCTCCATTCGACCTCTATCTGCTCACTTCTTCATATTGTTGAAGGTTTTTTCTAAATAAGCTCTGTTGATTTCAATGTTTTGTCTCCACTCCTTAGTAAAGTTGAAGGCTCGCGGACGCTTCCCACTATACAATTTCACTGAGGTATAGGGAAGTCTAGGTTATTGTCTGATGATGACCTCAAAAGCAGTTCTAGTATAGTTGAGTCACATCTAGTAGGTTAGGCTAGTTCTTCTGGTTTGCTTATACAAAGTGTTACAAGTATTCTTCCAATAACCCATTGAAGCGTTTTGTCTAATCATCTATTTGTGGCTGGTAACTGAAAGATATGTTGAGTTCTAACCCCAATAGCTTGAAAAGCTCTTTCTAGAAAAAGCTTGTAAACCTTAGATCTCTATCATTGATAATAGTTTTAGGAAAACCATAATATTTTACCACATGTTTAAAAATTGTGCGAGCCATTTCTTCTGTAAAGCTAAATTTTTGCACTAGAATGAACGTCTCATACTTGGAGAATCAGTTCACCACTATCAAGATCATTATCATATCTCACACTTTAGGGAGTCCTACAATAAAGTCTAAAGAAATACTTTTCTATGGCTTGGTCAACAATAATAGAGGTTCAAACATTCTCGTTGGTCTCTATCTGTCTACTTTGTCTTGTTGGCAAATGAGGCACGTCTTCGTATAATCCGTTACATCTTGTCGTATATGAGGCCAATAGTAACCTTATTTCAATAGTGCGATGGTCCGCTGCCACCTTAGATGTCTTGCCTATGGAGTGTCGTGACATTCCCGCATTAATTTCTACCTAAGCTCCCCCTTGGAACAAATATGCATGGTCCTTTAATTCTAGGAGTCCATTTTCCACCCAAAAGTATTTTGACTTTCCACTATCCACCAACTTCCTAATGGTCATTGCTTAGGGGTCTCGATGTAAATTTTCCTCAATCAAATTATAGATATCTATGGTTACTCTACTGGTTGTCATTGGTGCAATCACCTTTAGAGCTACGAATTCCACTTTCTTACTACGAGCGTCAACTGCACAGTTCTTTTTTCCAGCTTTATGGTTGAAGGAGAAATCAAACTCGGCTAGGAACTATTACCATCTCACTTGCTTAACTCTAAGTTTTGACTGTGTGAGGAAGTGACTTACAGTTGTATTATCGATCTTAACCACGAATTATGATCCTAGCAAGTAGTATTGCCAAGCCCGTAAATAATGAATCACTGCAAGTAGTTTTTTCTCCTATACCATGTATCTCCTTTCAATTTCATTTAATTTTTGACTTTCGAATGCAACTAGGTGTCCTTCTTATAGGAACACTCTTTCAAGGGCAAAGTTTGATGCATCCGTCTGTACCTTAAATGGCTTTGCAATATCAAGGAGTGATAAAACAAGATCCATTATCATCGTCTCCTTCAAGCCTTCAAAGGCTTCTTGGCACGGTCCCCAACTTCACTTCTGTCTTTTTTTTAGTAATTTTGTCAAAGCTACTATCCTTCTTGAATATCCTTCCCTAAATCTTTGATAACAATTGGGTAGCCTTAAGAAAGAATGAAGTTCAGTTGTATTCTTAGGGGTGGCCTATTCTTTGATAGCCTTTACCTTTTAAATGTCCATCCGAATATGCCCTTATTCAATTATGTGGCCAAGGAACTGGATACAAGTTTTTGCAAATGCACTTTTATCCCTTTTACATATAACTGGTTGTTGCGTATCCTTTGAAAGCCCTATCACAAGTGTCGTTGATGCATCTCTAAAGCTGAACTGTACACCATGATATCGTCCAAGTAGATTATTATGAACTTATCTAGATAATCATGGAACACTTGATTCATTAGTGTGCAAAAGATAGCATTGGTTAGTCCAAAGGCATAAAAAGAAATTAAAATGTACCATATCACGTTATGCAGATGGTTGTCAGCTCATCTCCCTCAGCCATTCTTACTTGATGGTATCCCGATCTCAAATCTAATTTGAAGAAGTATTTGCATTTAACTAGTAAAAGAGATCTATTATAAGAGGGATATGATATTTATTCTTAGTTGTTACTTTATTCAAAGCTCAATAATCCATGCACAATCGTAAACTCTCATCTTGCTTTTTGTGAAAAAGTACAGATGCTCCAAAAGGTGCTTTTGATGATTGGATAAATCTGACTTGAATCAACTCATCTAATTATTTCCTTAGCTCTGCTAACTCTGAGGGAACCATCTTGTATGGCTCTTTTGTAAGCGACTTGACTCTTGGAAGTAGTTTTATCTTATGATCAATAACTAGTTGAGGTGGTAAGACCCTTGGTAGTTTTTTTTTGGCATCATATCTTAAAATTCTCTCAAAATCAATTTCACTTCTTTTGGTATTAGATTTGTGTTATCTTTATCTTTATAGATGGACATGGCCATA